CCTAAGACAACCATTACTAGACGTATTTATTTCTTTGGGGTGCGTTATTTTGATTTTTTGCATGATTTTAATTTTATTATAGATTAAGGAATGGGTATCTTGCATTCAGTCCAATGTAGAAAATAATGACACATTATCATAAGAAATGAGAATAAATGGTCTAATGGTTACCATCTAGTACGGCTTTGCTAATACTTTCCATGTATCAAGTTATTTAATCTGTGTAACAACCCATGTAGTAACTGCTTTTATATTTCTGATGTTACAGATGAGAAAACTAAGAAGCTGCCCAGCTGGTGTGGCTCAATGGTTGAGCATCAACCCATGCACCAAGAGGTCGCCGGTTCGATTCCCGGTCAGGGCACATGCCCAGGTTGTGGGCCCGATCCCCAGTGGGGGGCGTGCAGGAGGCGGCCAATTGATGTTCTCGCTCATCAATGTTTCTATCTCTCTCCCCCTCTCCTTCCTCTCTTTCTCTCTAAAAATCAGTAAAGAAAACTGAGAAGTTAAATAGTTGCCCATGGCTACAAAGCAAGAAAACACAGAGCTGACTCAAATCCAGGCCTGTTTGGCTCCAAAACCTACACGTGTTCAAGACCCTAGAATTCCAGGTCCTCGTGGTCATGTATATCTTGGCTTCTTCAGTTCCTTTCCCACTCACCTCCTCAACACCGGGACCCTTTCTTGGTGCCTGTCCTTTATATTGGGCCATCCGGGGACAGGTCTCTGTCTGTTGATCACCTGACAGCACTGATTTGTCTTGCTCATCGCCTCTACGTCAACATTTCCCAGTTGACACATGTCCGAGCTCTTTGTTAGAGACTGTGCATCTGGCCATCTGACTGTCTTTTCTCTCCTTTCCCGCCTCCCTCTCTCCTCTGCCTACTCTCCGGTTCATCTCTAAAGATACTTAATGGTGGTAGCCTCTACCACAGTAGGGGTGTCCAGTGAAAAACCATACTCTACCCTTAAAGAGCCTCAGGCTCGTCCAGCTTTGGATTCTACTTGTGATCCCTTTTCTTGGTCTCTTGCGAACTCAGACAGTTGTAAGTTTTCCACAAGACCCCACTTTTCCTGTGCTCTAAAATGTGCATCAGAAATTTTTTAGGGGGCCTATTTTCATCCAATACATAGTCCAAATACTTTAGCCAGTATTGCTAACAACACTTGAACAATTATTGCAATTATTGATAGCTTGCTATGGATGACTACAATAGAACTCCCTTTGCTCACTCGGAATTACAACAATACTGTATTTCTTTCTTTGCACTTCAATACGCTAATTTGGATAATTATCTGACAGCGTTCCTGGCAAGCATCTGGAAGATATCAATTGTGAAAACCAAATACTCATTCTCTTATTCTAAGAGAATAATAAAATGTTTAAAGTTGCAAAATTATATTCATGTTGAAAAACATCCAACATACGTGGTCCTCTTTGCGATAAATGTCTGTAATTATTAAATATAACCTATGTTATGAGATTTACAAATGGTGACTTGCACATAGAAATGTGTTTTCTACCCCTCTGAATAACCCCCAAGTATCATACAGTTAATTCTTCCCTGGGGGTATTACTCACATTTAATTTATCACTGATCTGTTGGAAGAAAACTATTTCTCCTTAGGGCATGTCCAAAAATAAAAATGACTAGTGTGCATTACAGAATGTACTCATTCTATCCATGGGGAGGAACAGTTTTATTTCAGAGTAGTCACAGAGTCAATTATTGTCTTAAACCTAGAGAGAGAGGGGGCAGGTCCATGCGTAGTTGGAAATGTAAAACCTTAAACTGAATTTATGCGTTTTTCACTTGCAAGTCATAAGTTGTCCGTCTTCTTCTGTTCCACTCATTTAGGAAAAAGTGAAAGGTATCCCTTTTCCTGTCTCTTTCTCATTAACTGTCCTCACCCTTTCCTAGTGGGAAGAGATTCTCAGTCAATAGGCTAAGTAACAAACCAATAAGCATCAATTAATATCTTTCTCTCCTTCTCATGGAGACCAACTGACTGGGGCAGGGTCTCTTGTTTTGTTTTGTTTTGTTTTGTTGTCCCCCATGGAGATGAAATCATCCCTCACTGACCCCATGGCTCCCAATCTATTTGTAAGGTTTACAGGGGTGCTCTGTGTGGTCTGATGAGACAGCAAAGGTAAGTGGATCCCCGGGGGACAAGCTACGACAGACAGTAGCTACTACAGCTTGCGTCCACTTTCATAGGTCACTGTCCTCATCGAGGTACATATCCTCATTGAGGTACGTGGCTCTATCATCTCTGATAGTTGAGCTCAAGTGACCAGCTCATGAATTTCACCTGCCATGCCCAGTGTTCCCAGTGTCGTTTAGCTAGTGGTTCTCAACCTGTGGGTCACGACCCCTTTGGGGGTCGAACGACCTTGCGCAGGGGTCGCCTAAGACATAATAACAGTAGCAAAATTACAGTTCTGAAGTAGCACCGAAAATGATTTTATGGCTGGGGGTCAGCACAACATGAGGACCTGTATTAAAGGGTCGCGGCATTGGGGAGGTTGAGAACCACTGAGCTAGACAGTGTTCCCCCCAAACAGGGGCCCATCCTTACTCCAGCAGGGGCTCTTACTAAGTGCCTAGAACTGATTCAAAATCTGAAACTGCAACTAGGAAACAGTGAAGGCCTGGCCGGAGGAGGTCCACATGTGCAAGGAGCCTGTAGGCACCGAGCAAGAACCGGAGCCCCCGGACATGAGAATGGACCGTGTCTGAGGCACAGCTGTATCCAGCTGAACCACACCCATGGTGCTCAGTGTCACAGCCAAACAGCCACGGGCGGATGCACTCGACCACCCAAGATGACTCGATGACTACAAGCCCGATCGAAGTGGGGTGCCCTGCACTAGCCACTGTCTGGCACAGAAAGCGAGGGTGGGGCACCGTCTGATCCCAGAGCACAACCGCTCAGTGTCTTCTCATCGTCCTACAGTAACAGTAACGTACAAAGGACACATGGACAGACCTTGAAGGCCAGTGCTGTGTTCCCTGCCGGGTCACTGGCTAGATGTGGCATTTCTAGGCCTCAGTTTTTTTGTTTTTTTTTTAATCCTCACCCGAGGACATTTTTCCATCTATCTTCAGATAGAGTGGAAGGGAGGGAGGAAGAGAGAGAGAGAGAAAGAAGAAAAAAATTCATGTGAGAGAGACACATTGACTGGTTGCTTCCCACACACCCCCGACCAGGGCCAGGGACTGAGCCACAACCGAGGTACACGCCTTGACCGGAATCGAACCCATGACTCTTTGGTCCATGGGCCAACGTCCTAACCACTGAGCCAAACTGGACAGGGCTAGGCCTCCATTTTTGCATCTATAAATGACAGGCATGAATTAGACAACTTCCCAAACCCCTTTTAGGTTCCGTACTAGCTGCCACAGAGAATCCCAGGAGGGGCTAAGACATTCTAACCAGAGGAGAGAACAGAGCCCTGAACCCATGGATCATGTCCCCAACGGCAAAGGCAAACACACAGTGAAGGAACGTCCTTCCCCGGTGAACTGGGCAGGAAAACTGTTGAAGGGCCTTCGGGACGATGCCTCTTTTCGGGCCCCCACGGCAACAACACGCGTGTTTTATAACAAACACGGCATGTTACAGCCTCGCCCGTGACACACATTTCTTGGATTCGCTTCTTGCGATCTCGAAGTGCGATCCACAAATAATACGGGCGGCACGTCTTTGGCAATCTGGGGAGCAGGAAAAATCTCTCCTCGGGCACGATAACATATGGCGAGAAGGGCAGACGCACTTTTCTGAAGCCGTTCGCCAAGCGGTGTAAGACAGGCCCTGTCGGTGGAGGGAAATTCTACGCTTCCACTTGAACATGCTGGTGGAAGGGAGAGAGGTCCGTGGTTACTGTCTCTTCCAACTCCTGTCACAGACGCGCAATACCAGCGCTCGTCATTCAGGCGAAGCCATAGACGCCCTCGTACATACACGTATTGTTGCTAACGCGCTAATAACATTTTGCACTAACCCAGAGGACGAGAGTGCTTTACAAAGATGCTTTAGCTCCTTACGCCTCGGGGTACCCATGAAATAGCTCGGGGGAGGGACCGTCTGCCAGGGTTTCCCAGTGACACAGAAGCACGGGCGTGGCGGAAGCAGCTGGCTCGGATGCGTCTTACAAACCGTCTGCGGAGTCTTGCTCGAACCCAGACCTCGTTGCGGTCATTGCGTTTTGTTATTCCGCTCTTCTTGTCCAGCCTGGATCCTCCCAACACCGGCAGCCCCCGCTCTGGGAAGCCCCCCCAAGAGCCAGCCGGCTGCTCACGGACTCGGGGAGGTTCTCCTGGCTGGAGTCTCCTGCTCTATACTCCCCTCCCTGAACCCACGACCTTGAACATGGCACCTCAGCTTCCTCCTGCTCTCCCCCACTCCAACCTCATAACCTCCCTCCAGCCTCCCTAGTTCATGCATTATTTTTGTTGTTTTTATTTATTTATTTTTTGTATCCTCACGCAAGGACATTTTTGCGTTGATCTTCAGACAGAGTGGGAGGGAGAGGAGGAGGAAGAGAGAGAGAGAAACATCGACGTGAGAGAGACACATCACGTGGTTGCCACCCACACGACCCCAACCAGGGCCGGGGACAAACTGCAACCGAGGTACGTGCCCTTAGTGGGAACCGAACCCGGGACTCTCTGGTCCGCAGGCCGGCGCTCTAACCGCTAAGCCAACCCCCCAGGGCACTAGTTTATGTTTTAACACGAGGGCTTCGGAAAGACAGAGCCCTAAGAGATGCCCTGCCCCCTACACACAACCTTCCAGTGAGGAGCCCAGCATGACACGTGGGCCTTTAGAACGTCACCGGCCACGCCCTCGGCCTCGTGGTCTGTCCAAGAGATGGGACGAATATAAAGCCACTCTGTCAGTGACAACCGCCCCCAGCTCCCGAGGACTGGGGCCCCCTGTTTCCAGGACAAGCTCAGACGCCCCCTAGTCCCGCCGGGCTGTGGAGGGGACGTTACCATGAGGGCGGTGTAGGTGTAGGGGTAGTGATAGGCCAGGTAGCAGGCGTCGTCATGGTGCGGAAAGGTGATGGCAAAGGTGAGGGTGTAGTAGCACCTCCGAACCTCTCCCCCTGTGACAGCGGCCCTCTCGCGATAATGATTTCTAAAAGGGAAAGGAGAAGAGAGGAGAATGAGGGAGATGCGTGGGAAAGGCATTTAGGGGTGCAGGTGCTCTGAACCCCTTATCTTACACAGTGGCAAAACGGTCACTCGAAACACTCGGTGGGTGACACTGAGAAAACAGAGTCCAAGCGAGCTTCCTGCTGGGTCATGAGCCACACCAGCCACGTCCAGGGGGGCCCTGTGTCCCCTAACTGTGGCGCATATACCACGAGCCTTTCCCGGCTGTCTGAGCGTCAGTCTATCGAGTCCCTGAGATGGAAAATGTAAATAATTCTGTTTGCTGGGGATTCCACTGCAGACATATCCTTTACCCAAATTGGGTTCCCCAACCTCAGCTTCTCCTCAGATCATACAGAAGACAGCTCTTCCTTTCTTGCCACCTGCCAAATGGGTTTCGCCATCATGACTGTATGTTGGGTTCCAACTCGAAACGTAATCCGTCGTCTGATGTGATCACTGCAACAGCCCGTGGGTAGGTGAAGAAGCAAAGGCTTAGAAAAATTAACTTGTCACCCTGGTCATTTTGGCTCACTGGTTAGCGCATCGGCCCATGGACCAGAGCCCCGGGTTTGGTTCCCACTAAGGGCACGTACCTCGGTTGTGATTCATCCCCAGTCATGGTTGGGGTTGTGCGGGTGGCAACCAGGCGATGTGTCTCTCACGCATCAATGTTTCTCTCTCTCTCCCTCCCGCTCTATCTGAAGATAAATACAAAAAAGTGTCCTCAGGTGAGGGGGAAAAAAAGTAAGTATTGTCGTACACACTCTACAGATGGGGAAATTGAGGCTCACAGATGTGAAGTGTCTTGAGCAACTCTCTACAACAGGCATAGTAAGTAGGATTCAGCCTCAAGCACGGGTCTACTTCAAAATCAAGATGTTGTTATTATCATTATTATTATAATTATTATGATTATATCGCTTCTCTCTTAGGAATGGATAAAAGGACAAGAGGTTTTGGGGGGCCCAGTGAATCAGCCAGAGAAAAAGCTGCAAGTCCCTACAATTCTTCATGTCCTTGGCATCGGATGCCAGTGCTAGGTGTGTACTAACAATTCGTAACAACTGCTAAGAGCTGTGACCACCTGCTAGGCACCAGGTACTGCGCCAACCTTCCCACCTGCGTTACCTCGTCTCATTCAATTTTCAAAATCACTCTATCAGGCAGATGCCATGATTATCCCTGTTTCACAGATGAGGAGTCTGAGGTTGAGAGAGGCGAGAATCATGAGGGCCACACCCTCAGGGACCGGCAGCAGCCTGGTTCCCAGAACTCCCTCCCCTCTGTCCGCTCCCCTAGGTGGACAAGAAAAGCCGAGAGAGGTCAAGGGAACCTGGGACGTGCCGGATCCCAGAGAGGTCCCCTTGGGTCAAACATGAGGTTGGATACATCCAGCCACTGGCCAAGTCAAAGCTCCCCCTTGGCTTTTCTATTCCCTGAACATTTATCTCTGGAAGGATCTGCACTTTTATAAACATCAAGCCCTCAATGAAGCAAGGAGCCAAGTGCACAAATGCATAGTTATGCACTCAGTCTACTTCCATTTGTACTTAAAAAATATGCCGGGGAGTCATTTACTTTCTGTGCGCGCATGAATCAGCGAGGGCTGAGAGAGAGAGAGAGTTCGGTGATCATCATGCCGATGACTCCCTTTCACAAGGGGCAGCATTTCCCCGGACACATTCTGATCAGGCAGAGCAGCTGGGCACCAGGCTTCCCTGGTCTGCGGAGGTTCTAATATCCTCTGTGACACCCAGTCTGTCTCCGGAGGTCCCTCGGAAGGAGGCACAGGAGCAGGGCTCTTGGATGACATGCACCGTCAGGAGCGCGCTGCTCCGTCCCCTCTCACACGGGAGACAAGTGTCAGAAGAGATCAGCCTTTCTGGGTCCCAGGGCCCTTCAGCGCCAAGGTGACTTCACAGCGGAGCTGGGAGAGGGTCTGAGAAGGCACGAGACTGTGCCCAGCAGCGGACAAGCAGACCGCGGGGAAGTCACTGAAGCAGACACGGAGACTGTCCTCGATTCTACGAGAGGCGTGAAGAACTCATTGTGCCCGTTAGTGTTCTTCCCCCTGGAGGCTCACTTTTTATTTTCTGGCCCAGTGGTTGGCGAGGTTGGTGGGAGCTGAGGAGGAAGTACTCCAGGGAGGGGCGAGAGGACCCATCGAGCGCAGGGAGAGTATTAACCTGTCTCTCTAAATTTATGGTGATCTCAGTAATGAGAAAGAAACTAAGTTGTCCGGGCTTTAATCTGGGGGCTGACAGCGCGGCCATGATGCGGTCCCAGCCGGGCTAAGGTGACGAATAATTATAAAACCAGATCACGGCCCTGGCCGGTTTGGCTCAGCGGTTACAGCGTCGGCCCACAGACCGGTGAGCCGCAGGTTCGATTCCCGGTCAAGGGCACTTACCTGGGTTGCGGTTCATCCCCGGCCCTGGTTGGGGTCGTGCGAGAGGCAACCGGTCGATGTGTCTCTCTCACATCGATGTTTCTCTCTCTCTCTCTCTCTCCCTCCCACTCTATCCGAACAAAGATGGAAAAATGTCCTCGTGGGAGGATTAAAAACAAGAATAATAATAATAAAATAATAATAAAACCAGATTACGATTCAGCAGTCTTATCCCCTCTTCCCTGCTCTTTTCCGGGGCTGGGAGAGGAAAGGGACCGAGTTTTACATCCACAGGGTTTACAGGTCAGAGAGTTAACGGCGACGGCTGGACAGGAGGCTGCGGGAAGGAGGGGCGGAACCATTGCTCTTAGCTTCCGAGACACTGCAGTTCGCAGAGACCTGGGCTCGCTGGTTTACAGATTATATCGTCTCAGTTACATCAAACCTCACAATACAGACAATCCGTTGTTGTTGTTTTCGTTCTGTTCAGAAGCCAGAGCTTGACGACAATATTAAATTTCAAGCAGAAATGACCAAGAAAACGGAAGAATGGAGATGGCTTGCTTCCTCCTCTTAATATTAGTTCTTTCTTAAGAATTATTGTGTGTGGTTCGGCCAGTGTGGCTCAGTGGTTGAGCATGGACCCATGCACGGAGAGATTGCCGGTTCCATTCCCGGTCAGGGCACATGCCCAGGTTGTGGGTCAGATCCCCAGTGGGGGGCATGCAGGAGGCGGCCAATCGATGTTCTCTCTCATCAATGTTTCTCTCTCTCTCCCTCTCCCTTTAAAATCAACAAAGAAAAAAAAAATTTTTTTAAAGAATTATTGTGTGTGTTAAATAATCTAATTAGATCTGGAAAGTTAACCCAAGTTTTTCTCAATTATCCAAAAGACCACGCATGTCGTGTTTTTCATGTTAAATCCTAAGTATATTGTATAGGCTGAGTTATCAATAGTATAAAAACACAGTTTATCCTTGAACAACACGGGTTTGAACTGTGTGGGTCCATTTATACATGTTTTTTTTTTTTTCAATAAATACTTTAAGTGTATTTTCTCTTCCGTATTGTTTTCTTAATTCTCTAACTTACTTTATTGTTAGTGCACAGCATATAATACATACGACATATAAAATATGTATTAATTGACTGTTTATGTTATCAGTAAAGCATCCAGTCAACAGTAGGCTATTATTAGTAGTTAAGTTTTGGGGGAGTCAAAAGTTACACATGGATTTTTGACTATGCAGGATGTAGGGAAATCAGTACCCCTCACCCCCATGCCCAAGAGTAAACCAAATGACAATTAAGTAGACAGTTAAAATGATTTGTTTCATCTTTTTCTCTTCACTTAAAATTCTAAACTTTTGCATGTTTTCTAATGTACATAATGTATTAGCACAGTAAAGTGTATCTAACTGATTAAAAATAATGTATGAACAAATCTATATGCATAAGTATATGCATAAATATATTTTTTTCTTAAAAAAAATTTTTTTATTGACTTGAGAGAGCTAGAAACAGCAATGAGAGAGAACATCGACTGGCCGCCTCCTGCATGCTCCCACTGGGGATCAGGCCCACAACCTGGGCATGTGCCCTGACCAGGAATCGAACCAGCGACCTCTTAGTGCATGGGTCGATATTCAACCACTGAACCACACCGGCCGGACTTAAATAAGTCTTATGAATGTAGTTTGGTACCACATTCTAACTGATGACCACAGGGTCCACTAAGCAGTCAGCCACTTGCTTAATGGGTCATCACGGCTGTCTCTTTTTGAAGTAAATATCATATCACGTCTGCGTATCTTCTTCCCTTTCACGCTCTTGTGTTATAGACTCGGGTACTCTTGGCTCCTTGTTCTCTCCACAAGGAGCACCCAGGCCACCCCTTTAGAACACAGCATCACCTCTGAATTAACAAGCAGGATAGACACAGAACTTCTCAGTTCCTGAGGACATACGGAAGACAGAGAAATAAGGAGGTCAAGTTCTCCCAGTGAAGACACTAGGTAGAATAAAGGCAGAAATGAAGCAAGGAAATTTCCCAAAACAGATCAACCCCAAGATTATGATGTGTAAAAAGAGAGAGATCGATTGTATACTCCAAAACACTCTCTACCAGGGAGAGGTGTCCTGCTTTGTGGTTGTATAGAGATAGACACATCTACCCTGCTTTCGGATCACATTATTGGAAACATGTTAACAGAACACGGTGAATAATTGTAAAACACACTATGCTACAATGTAGCAATCTTATCCATTCATCTCTGTTGTATTTACGGCTGGGAAATGAAAAATGAATTACATTCTACGTGCATGGTTTCCAAGTTACCCCTCTGTTCCTCTGTAATCACATAACAATTGTCTTGTTAATGAATCTAAAAGCTATTGACATTAATGTTGGCTTTCCTTAGGCCAAGGCTACTATTGGATGTGTGGCTTCTTCCTTTGCCTGTTGGCAGATGCTTGGTCCCCTGAAACCTGCTCCTTACTCTCCACCTGCCAAGGGGAACCCCCAGGGAGTGCTCTGCCCCACTGAGAAAGGATGAGCAGTGTGATATCTGTCCAGTCTCCTACTGGAACCGACCTCCAGATCCAAGAAGGCTGCAGACTGGGTCTTTCATGTTTATGTAGGGTTACTATTTTCAGAGGACACTTAAAGTTATTCTTGACCCACCCAAGTCCAGATTTAGGCTTTTGTTATTTTTCCTTGCAGCTGTGGCCTCTAGGATCATGAAGCGAATTTTAGTCTAAATCTCTCTGGACCATAGAAAGACCCCGAGTGTCTCTGGATAGATGGGCCACAGAGGAGTTGCTACACCAGTGAATGGAAACCCAACCTAATTATAATATTTTGGTATTGTTCTAAAAACGTAATGAAAGTACTACCCAGGTCTATATCGCAATACTTCAGGGACCGGAGACTGTCTACCCTTTCATTACAGGCTGTCAGTAAGCCCAGCTCTTTCTTTGTAGACTCATGATGTCTCTGTGGCCATCTGGGCCTTTGTGTGGGATGGAGGGACAAAACCTTGACCTCTCCTGTCTGTCTACGCTCCGGTCCTCACAACCTCAAAGGCCAAGAGTCAAAAGCATATATATTCTTTCTTTTTAATACTAAACACTAGAATGTCTGGTTATAGTTTTTCAGCGTCCTCTTGTAATCTGAGAAAAGGATAAGACTTATTTTTTCCAGGAAGATAAGTACTAGCCTATCATTTTTTATCTAAAAAAAAAAAAAATGCCTGGCGGTGTGGCTCAGTGGTTGAGCATCGGCCCATGCACCAAGAGGTCGCCAGTTCGATTCCCGGTCAGGGCACATGCCCAGGTTGTGGGCCCGATATTGAGTGGGGGGCATGCAGGAGGCGGCCGATCAATGTCTCTCATCGATGTTTCCATCTCTCTCTCTCTCCCCCTTCCTCTCTCTCTAAAATGAACAAAGAAAAAAAAATTAAATAAAAACACTACATCTCAGTCTACCGTGGGCTCCATTCATCAGGCGCTGCGTCTGAAGGGCAGGTCATCTGCTGCAGGGCCGTGCCGAGTGTAGCAGACAAGCACCGACTGCTGAGGGTTGGAGGAGCAACGTGGCAAAGCAGGAAATGGAGACAGAGTGAAAGAGCAGAGGAAAGAGGCAAACGATACTGTCACTCACTTGTAGTAGCAGATCTCATAGCCTGTCCGTATCCACGTGGGTCTGCCAAGGAGCGCCTCCTTCACGGAATACATAGTGGGCTGCATCCCTGCACCAAACAGAGGAGGGTGAAGCTGCTGGGGGGAGGGGAGGGAGTCGGAGATGGCTGCAGTGTCTCTCCACCACACCCAGGTCTTCACGCTGGACCTGTGACTGTCACCTCACACGGCGAGGGAGCCTTTGCAGACATGATGAAAGGCTCTTGAGATGGGGAGATTATCCTCGTGGGCCCTAAATGCAATCACAAATGTCTTTTTTTTTTTTTAATCCTCACCCAAGGACATTTTTGCATTTATTCCTCAGAGAGAGCGGGAGGGAGAGAGGTGGGAAGAGAGAGAGAGAAGCATCGACATGAGAGAGACACATCGACTGGCTGCCACCCACACGACCCCAACAGGGGTCGGGGACAGACTACAACCAAGGCGCGTGCCCTTAGTGGGAACCGAACCCGGGACTCTCCAGTCCACAGGCCGATGCTCTAACTGCTGAGCCAAACCGGCCAGGGCCATCATATCATAAATGTCTTTGATTTGAGATAGAAAAAGAGAGAGACAGAGAGAGAGAAACGCGGATTTGTTGTTCCGCTTATTCATGTATTCATTGGTTGTTTCTGGCATGTGCCCTGACCGGGGATGGCACCCACAACCTCGGCGGGTCAGGATGACATTCTAACCAACTGAGCTACCTGCTCAGGGCGATCACCGATGTCTTCCTAAGAGGGAGGCTTAACAAGGTTCAGCGACTGAGAAGTAATGTGGCTGAAGCAGAGAAATTTGAAGAGGCTACGCTGTTGGCCGTGACCCAAGAAATGCCAGGAACGAAGCTCTAAGAGCCAGAAAAGGAAGCAGAAAGGCCACCAGAGTGTCCAGAGAGAGAGCATGGCCTTTCCGGCACCTTGACTGGTGTCCAGTGAAACTCTAGAACCGCAGGAGAGCACATCTGTCTTGTTTTAATCCACCAAGTTTGCGACGACTTGTGAGAATAACCACGCACAGTGAATGCGACAGTCCAGGTTCACGTGTCCTGTTTCCACACCAACGACAGTCGAATTTGGGTCGGTATGAAATAGAGTCACTATCCTGTGCTCGGACCGGGAGATACGGGAGTATCATTCCTCAGGCAAAGCCACTCAATAGAGTCGTGTGTGAGCCAGCAGTTACACTCAGGGTTTCCCGTTCCTACAAACGTTCAAAATACGGCTGGGCTACTAGTCAACAGTCCCTAGCATGTCTCTGCTAAAACTGACACAGGTATTCAGGAGAATTTAAATTTTCTTTCTTTAAAATATTTTTTTTTATGTTTACTTATTTATTTATTTTTATTCCTCGTCTGAGGATATTTTTCTACTTATTATCAGATAGAGTGGGAGGGAGGGAGAGATAGAGACAGAGAGGAACGTCGATGTGACAGAGTCACATTGACTGGCTGCCTCCTGCACGACCTGGGACCAGGGATGAACTGCAATTGAGGTTCATGCCCTTGACCAGAATCAAACCCGCAACTCATTGGTCTGCAGGCTGACGCTCTAACTGCTGAGCCAAACTGGCCAGGGCTGTTTGTTTTTTGTTTGTTTTTTTAGAGAGAGAGAAAGGGAGAGAGAGATAGAAGCATCGATTGGCTGCCTCCTGCACGCCCCCTACTGGGAATCGAGCCTGCGACCTGGGCATGTGCCCTGACCGGGAATCAAACCGGGACCTCTCAGTCCCTGGGACACCGCTCAATGCACCGAGCCACACTGGCCAGGCAAACGTGCTCCAGAGTTTTCTTTGAGTGTGAATCAGTGTTTGATTGTACTGTTGGTCTGTCTGTGACAAACAGGTCTGTGCATTTGCTACTGTGGAATTTGGGAGACAGAAGAAATAGATGAGAGAGCTCACCAGCCTCAGAAAGTTCAGGGCACGGCAGCAGACTCAGGAGCAGTGTCACGGGCGCTATTAACATGCTGTGGCAGAGGGGACTTCCAGCTTCCCCTTCCACGGTAGCAATTTCTACGCCTTGGCCACTGTTTTGCCACACCTGACAACCAAAACGTGTCAGCCCCCCTTCAAGTCCTTTGGAAGCCCAGCAGGGCTTCCGGTAATACTCCAAACACTCTCACAGGGACATCATCCCTGGTGTCACCCAGAAAGCCGCTGCTCCCCGAGAGCTCGTACCATAGTTAAACTGGCTGTTGGGCTTCTCGAAGTTGATGATGTTGAAGCGGTAGGGGACGGCCGCCCTCATGCGGCTCACCTTGAAGTTGAACCACTGCTGGTACTGGGTGCTGTTCACGTCTGTGTTGACCAACAAGTCGTACTCAAACCTGCAAAGGCAGAAGGGAGATGGGAGAGTTAACCGTCTTTAAGGTGACAACCAGCATGGCAGTTGACATATCTCATGTTCTCAATGACAGGTCTAAGAGCCGGGGTCTCGGATGGCTGGTGGGTAACACTGTTACCTAGATCCACAATATTGGACCAGGCGGTGGACACTCAGGGCTGGAGGGGAGCAGGTTCTTGGTATCAGAAGAGCCAGTGACACCACTGTAGCACATAGTCTTACGAAATTGCAATTGATTCTCTATCTGCCTAGAAAAATGCAAGTGTGCTGCTACCCAGAGAAAATCCAATCACATCTGGGTAGGTGTACTGTTACTATTTAAAGCTATCCATTCCCTTTGAGCCCCCGTCTCCTCATAGGCACAATGAAAACAGCATCTCAACATGCGGTGCTCTTTGCAAAGATGAATTAAATAGTGTGCGTGAAACCCAGGCAAAGCTACAGACATGAGGTAGCCTAGCCATGCAGCCACTGTTTAGTCCTTTTCCCCTTTTCACGTGATACAACTTACATGCACCAAATACAGTGCACACATCTTAAGTATACAACGCAATCAATTTAAATGAAGTCATCTGTCTACGCCCATTTCGCAATGACCCAGATCGAGATATAGGACCCCAAGGGGTTCTTCTGTGTCCCCTCCCAGTCACTGTGTCTCCAAGGGTCATTAATTTTTTTTTTCTTTTTGAGTTTTAGCAACAGAATTGGCAGATGTGACTTAACTATTATCAGGGCATTTCATTTTCAAAAATATGACTGTGACATCCCCAAGGCATGTCCCTTGAGTTGCTCTTCTAGAAAGGGTAAGGTTTTCGCTCTGATCCATCCATCCTGTCCTACCCTGGACCCCTGGCCACGGCCATTCTATCATGAGGTTTGCAGAAGGAAAGAGCATTGGATAAGACTCATAAGAGCAGAGTAGAGCTAACTGATGGGTTCCCACTCCTCACTTTAACAACTGGGGTCATCATACAAGGAAAAGTATGACTCTGAGCAGCACTCACAGGGACCATTCTGGAGAGCCTATGCCCCCTAAATGGTCTGCTATGCCCACAAGCCTGTATCCAAAAAAGGATCATAAGCCTGGCCAGTGTGGCTCAGTGGTTGAGCATCGACCCATGCACCAAGAGGTCGCCGGTTCGATTCCCGGTCAGGGCACATGCCCAGGTGGTGGGCCAAGTCCCCAGTGGGGGGCATGCAGCAGGTGGCCGATCAATGTTCTCGCTCATCGATGTTTCTGTCTCTCTCTTCCTCTCTCAAACTTTCTCACATCAATAAAGAAAAAAATTCTTTTTTTAAAAAAGGGGACATCATAAAAATTCCTTGCCTGCCAATAGATTTGTCTTCTGTCATTTGACCATTATCCTGACTGCAACTGATTCATTTTGGATTCTACACTCTGGCCAAAGGCAGGTACATGGAGAGAGAGACCTGAGCAAGGCCAGCAGCTCGGCCACATCCAGGACGGATCGTTGTCCCACCAGGACATTCCTCAGTAGGTCTTCTCTCCTGGGTCCTTGGAACAGGATATATGGAGGGAAGGACTAACAAAGGCAGGACCCCTAAGAAGTAGTAGAAGCTGAGCTGGCGAACACGGAAGAGAGAAACGCTGAGAATTCTCAACGTGAGGGTCTTCCCCTTCTCAGCCAAACTAGCTCTCCATTTGTGGTGCTTTTATATGCTGAGCTTCCTTGAAATAACTCATGTAAAAAATAAATTTAAAAAATCACCACTCCAAAAAAATAAAGACTTCACAATTGACTCCTCAGGTGGATACAAGACAATCTGAGCGATACCAACTTCTGAGCTGGCTAAGAGCTAGTGTTGATTCAGTGCCCACCGGGTGATGGTCACGACTCTGAGAGCCTTACTTGAGCTAACTCTCCTCTGTCTATGCCGTGGTTGCTCCTAGTGGCCTCCCGTGGGAGAGGAAATGAAGCCACGGATGAGTTAGCTGACTCCCTCAAAGTCTCATGGTTGGAAAGGGATGAGGTTGTCCTGAAAGTCTGAGCCCCAAATCTGAGCACACCACACTCTTACCTGTTCTGGACTGTTGCTTTCAATAGTTCACCCATGGAAGGTGGATGATATTTCTTGCCTTTTGGTAAATGACACAGGTTGCCTACACTGTTATCGTAGAAAGAATTATAGCAAGAACAGCGATCTCTCTGCCACTAGAAGTCTTTATTTTATTTCCTTCCTTTTAGTTTGTGTAGCTCTCGATAACCTTGCCTGCAAAATCCTTCTTTTTATTATCCCTCATCTGAGGGTATTTTTCTACTTATTATCAGATAGAGTGGGAGGGAGGGGAGAGACAGAGACAGAGAGAAACATCGATGTGCTAGAGCCACATCAACTGGTTGCCTCCTGAACCACCCAACCAGGGTCGGGGACGAACCGCAACCGAGGTACGTGCCCTTGACCGGAATCGAACCCGCAACTCATTGGTCCATGGGCCAACATTCTAACCACTGAGCCAAACCAGCCAGGGCTGAGATCCTTCTCTATGAATAAGAGCTCATTGGAAGGTCCTGGCAGGGAGGCGTGCCCCTGAGAGGTCTCTTGAAGGAAGGAAGGCTCTCCCCTTCATGGGGAGCCCATGGTTTTGCCACCTCAATACACAGGGAAGCATGAGACATGAGAAGCTACAGGAAGGGGACAGGGGTCCCCTTCCATGTCCACAGAGCCAACCCTGACATCAGTGAAAATACAAACATCCCAGCCAAGTGCTCTCACACCCAAATATAGACCCGTTATTTGGAACGCAGGTGTATTCATAACCCATCCCCTCTAGTCTCCACCTTGCTATGACATCAGCTAGTGAGACCCCTAGTGACATGCTGGTCCGTGTTTCACAAGTGACGTTCGGCCGTCACCGTAGCGTGCTCCAGTTTGCACCACGGGGTACGCACAGCCACCATGGCTGATGCAAAGCTGCCCATCGATGTGAGGTCCCTGCAGAGAGCAGGGAAGAGGTGGGCGCACCTGCTCCCCGGAGCTGCCCCGAGCGGCCCCGCTGCAGCACCCCGTACTTACTCGCGCACTTGGATGGCTTTGCGAAGATTTCCCGACTCAAACTTGGAGGAGAAACACAAGCAGTCGGAAGCAGTGTCTTGCCTGTGATGGAAGAGAGAAGATACTAATGCATGTCATTGCTGCTCGTGAGTCCGGGGTGACGCTTCTAAGAGAGAAGCTGTCTCGTATGGATTCTGACCCAAATGCGCACCAGGCTGACTGCAGGAGCAGGAATGGGTCCCCGCCACGGAACACGCATTCTCGTGGCCTGACGGAATTCTCCCCGCCGCACCCACCTCCCTCCCACTGATGTCCCAGACCACCTACCAAGGCTCGTCTAAACTGAAGACGACTTTATTGATGACTTCCCTGGGCTGAAGGAACCTCCGGATATCCTCAAATATCTTGATCCTGAAAACGAACATCAGAAACATTGTGAAGGTGGACCTTCACGCCTTGCCCGACGCGTCCTACGGCTGTCTGGGCGGGGCCTCGAAGTCACCAGAGAGACAGGGAAGAGAAGGTGAATGATGCCCCGACCTTGAGCTGAAATAGCATAAAAACCATTCCTCCTCCTTCCTTCTCTCCTTGGTCAATAAATAGCCACACTGAGTGGCGGGAACGGAGGAAGCGGCCATGCTAGATTTTAGCGAGAGGATTCTGACTTGAAGGAGAGTTCTGCCCGGAGTATTTGGGCTAAGGGACTCTTAAGGTCTCTGGTTGGCCCGGCTGGTGTGGCTCAGTGGTTGAGCATTGACCCTGCACCAAGAGGTCGCCGGTTCGATTCCTGGGCAGGGCACATGCCCAGGTTGTGGGCCTGATCCCCAGTGGGGGGCATGCAGGAGGCGGCCAATCGATGTTCTCTCTCATCGATGTTTCTATCTCTCTCCCCCTCTCCCTTCCTCTCTCTCTAAAATCAATAAAGAAAAACATTTAAAAAAAACAAAACAAAGAAAAAGGTCACTGGTTGTGTGAATAAGAGGGTCCTCGTCACTGAGATAGTTTGAGATATTGGGGTTATTGGCTGTCAGCACCCTAAGGCCTGGGAGGCTCCAACAAGCCTCTGGACTCCTGTTTCATGAACATTCCTCAGATTCTGTCTGCTCCAAGGTCAAGCTTCTGTCTGAGAAACACCAAAACCCAGAGATTTAAGATGGAGAAAAGAAGCCTGAGGGATTCTTCTGATGTTCTTTTAGAATTTCCAGTCCAGCCCTGGCCAGTTTGGCTCAGCAGTTAGAGCGTCAGCCCACGAACCAGAGAGTCCCGGGTTCGGTTCCCACTACGGGCACGCACCTCGTCGGTTGCAGTTTGGCCCCAGCCCAGTTGGGGTCATGTGCGTGGCAACCAATGTCTCTCTCTCACATCGATGTTTCTCTCTCTCTCTCTTCCTCCCTCTCCCCCTCCCGCTCTATCTAAAGATAAATGCAAAAATGTCCTTGGGTGAGGATAAAAAAAAATTAGCATTTCCAGCCCAGGTCTCTGGGCGGGGGAGGCACACATGAGGCCCAGATGCAAGGGGGAGATGTTCTCTCTGGAGGAAGCTGTTTCCGGGCCGGCCCCCGTGGTGTGTCTCTCAGGAACCTGAACACGACAAATGACACTCAGGGCTGAGACCAGAGGCGTCGACCAGAAGCCCAAGCGAGACCAGCTCGTGGGCTCCACCACCAATTTGCTAACGAAACGAAAACTACGTGAATGAAACTTTCCACTGTGCACCCCTCGCTCCATTGACTTTGTGCATGCGTCCTCTGTGCTTTATTTTTTCAAGGAAAATCATGTTCCCCCTGGTGTTAGCTATTTTATTTTCCCCTCCCTTTGCTGAACCGAAGGCAAAACACCCGGTCCTGAGTTCTGAAACTCATCTCTCACTCAGAGTTTCTTCCCTGGAGAAGGCGTTTTGCTTTTCATAAAGCCCTTAGTGGCCCAGAAAACTCTTCTCCACACCAAGCCGGGTTCTACACCGTGGGGACTGCGGGGGGACTACACCTCCTCTAAGTAACAAAAGACCAGATGCCAATTCGCGATGAACAAGAAAGGAGGTTCCCAAATAACCCCCACTTGTGCTCTGTGAGCATCCTACGGAGTGCTGCCGTATGGGCAGGAACCGGCCTATCTGCTCCTGCTGTAGTGGCCTGTGGTGGGTATGGGGCGAGGGGGTGCATGAGAATCATTCAAGGGAGTCTTTCTCAGGACGCAATGCCCCGCGCCACCTCCGCTGGTTCTGAAACGCACCAGCTGACAGGCAAGCTCGCGTGTTACGGCAAAAATTTCCCAGGGGCGTTGAACCCGCTCCTGACGCACGCTCCCTGTTCTACCCAGAGCAGGACAACCACGCAGGCGGCTCCTACTGTAACAACATTGAAGAAGAGAAGAAGCCGCCACCTTTGGATCCCACGCTTGCGCTCCAGCATGGGCTCTGGAGAGGTTGACGGGCAATGCCCCCAGAGGTCAGGAAATGCCATTATCTTGAAGTCGGCCACGGATTTGGTTCTTCTGACCTTGGCCCTATAAATATAGGGGTCATGGAAGGGGATGTGCTGGGGGTGCATCTGCAGAAGCTTCTCGATCACTTCAACAGTGTCTTGAGACCTCGTGGAGCAGGAAAGGGAGGCGCTTGTCCTTGGGCAAGAAATCGTATCGATGTCCCAAGCAGCGTCTTTGAGAAAAGCCTCAATGTCAAGGACTCGATTCCCAGAAGAATCCATCCCAAGCCCGTTGGACTGGGCATTTTGGTCCGGGTTCGTTCCAGGTCTTTTTTGGGAGGCTAGAGGCACGGACGACCTGCCCCTCTTCACCATGCTCAGAAGGGGCGTCTGGACTGTGTCTTCTCTTTCTGGCCCCCGGGAGCCTTGGTCCTCATTTAAGCGATGCCGCTCCGGGGAGGCGGCGGTCGGAATGTGCTGGTGGTTGGCATACTCGGTCTCTGCAGAGGTCGGATCCTCTCCAGGTCTGGGCTCCAGGTCCTTCAGGTTGGAAGCAGAAAGAACACGTCAGTGTTCCCTTCCCAGCACAGAGTGCACCCCCAACCCCACCCCACCCTCAATCTCTGCGCACAGAGCTAGGCCTGAATCCTGGAAACTGAGGGGCGTTCTCCACGGCCAGCCACAGAAAGACTAAGTAAGCTTCAAGAGTCCAAACAATGGCAGAATCGTAGAAACTCACACTTGTAAGGGTCTTTTGGGGGTCTAGCATAATCCTATAAAGTACACAGATGTCTTCTGTGACACCCCCAATAAGTTAGTCTGGTTGAAGAACCTAACGTATAGGGTCTTCACAGTACCCCAAGGCGATGCCTTTATTTCAGGATCATTCTGACTGCTTACAAAAAGCATTCTTGCCCGGCTAGTGTGGCTCAGTGGTTGAACGTTGACCCGTGCACCAAGAGGTCACCAGTTCGATTCCCGGTCAGGGCACACACCCAGTGGGGGGCGGATCCCCAGTGGGGGGCGTGCAGGAGGTGGACAGTCGATGTTCTCTCTCATCAATGTTTCTGTCTCTCTCGCTCTCCCTTCCTCTCTCTCTAAAATCAACAAGGGTGGGGGGGAGCATTCTTTACACCGAACTGCAGTTTCCTCCCTGACATCTTTCCCTGCTGATCCCTTTCTGCTTTTGGGAGTGAACTCAATGACACTCATTCCCTTCGACATGTGGCTTCGCTTGTACCATTAGATATGGCCGAATTCATGATTTGTTAAGAGTCATCGGCAAATAGCCAAGATCAAAAGACAGGTGGAGATGGTCACACGGTGAGGTGTGCAGGTGATGCTTTGCTGAGTTGTACAGTTGACACCTGTATGATCTTGTGAACCAACATCACCCCAATGGGTTCAATCAATAATAAACAAATAGTTGGGGCAGGCCTGAAATGCTGGGGTTAGCAACAGCAGTGGCTGAGGTCTTCGCCCCTGGATGAACATCACCAGGTGTGAGGTTCTCAATGTGCTTCTCCTGACAAAAGCCACCTTGGAACCAGCTGGCCACCCTCATTCAGGCAGACGTCTGGTAATAGCGTTGCCACTTTGACAAGGGGACAGTTAAATCACCAAGAATGTCCCTACGCTTTTTCAGCACCTGGTGGAAGGGCATCTTGCTCGCTCAATGACAAAAAGGCAGCCATGTGTACCTTCAGCCTCCTCCCATCCGAGGTGTCAGGGGTCAGACGGTAGGACCCCCGCCAGCACCCTCGCTCGGCCACCTTTCTGACATCTTTGCTTCTCCTTCTGCTTCTCTCTCAGGAAGATCCCAGAAGCAGGTGGCTGGAACTGAGTAAATCTTTCCATGTGGAGACCTCTGTCTAGCCCAGGGCTCTGCAGAGGAGAGAATCCCGAGGACCACGGCGTATGTCCTACCTCAAAGCTGCAAGACAGCTCGAGACACATGGCCTCGTACTGGGCCAGCTCCTCTGCGGGTCGGTCAAGTCCGGGTTTGGAAATCAGCTTGTTCACATCCGTTTCCAAGTCATCATCCTGCAACGGAACATTCAAAACACGTGTCCTAGCCAAGAAAGCCACCCTGAGGGGCACCGAGCCGAGCTTCATACAGGACCCTCTGCAACCCCAGGCTACGGTTTCCTTGCCAAATTCAGTGTCAGCCTGTGCAAAGGACGGTGTAACAGGTCAGGTTGTATTTTTATTATTATTATTTTTAAAAAGAGATTGATGTCCGCCTGGCAGGTGTAGCTCAGTGGTTGAGCATCAATCCATGCACCAAGAGGTCACCAGTTTGATTCCCGGTCAGGACACATGCCCAGGCTGTGGGCCCGATCCCCAGTGGGGGGCGTGCAGGAGGCAGCCAGTCAATGTTCTCTCTCATCAATGTTTCTATCTCTCTCTCCTTTCCTCTCTCTCTAAAATCAATAAAATAAATAAATAAGGACACAAAACTTTAAAAAAAGAGAGACTGGTGTCAGTATTTATCAGCCCTCATCATAAATAAATAGCAATTTATCTGAAATGAACAATGGAAACACATAAAGCACATTATAAAAGGAGTTTTTTAATCTCATCACCACCATCGTCCACATAACCATAATGATTGTACCTATTCAGGTATCTATCTACCTTTGACATGTGGGTCCTTCGCTCATTTTATCAATGTTTGATGAGCACCTGCTATGAGCAGCTGGTCTCGTAGGAACTGAAGATTGGGTGACGACAGAGAATGGTCCATGATCCCATGGGATTTGCCCCTTAGCGAGTGAAGGGAGGCAGTCAGTAAATAAAGGTCATTTCAAACAGTGATAAGCGCCACAGAAATCATGACAGGGGCGCTCTGACTGCGACTGGGGTATGAGAAGCTGCTCAGATTGGGGGACACGAGAAAGCTTTGGCGAGGAGGTGACTCTTTAGGTAGACCGAAATGACAATCATCTCCGGCTATGCGAAGACTTGGAGAAAGGAGTGGCCAGGAGGAGGCACGGGGTAAATCCACTTACAGAAAGAAGACGGCTGAAGGGCAGACCGTAAGAGGAAGATTGGAGAAGCAGGTGTTTAAAAATTATTTTGTGATTGATTGACTTGAGAGAGAGAGAAACATCGATTTGTTGTTCCACTCATTGATGCGTTCATTGGTGGATTCTTGTATGCTCCCTGGCCGGGGATGGAACCCACAACCTTGGCGCATCGGGACGATGCTCTAACCAACTGAGCCACCCGCCCAGGCCTGAGAAGCAAGTACCACGCTGACCTTTACAGCGTCCGAGATGAGTTGTAACCTCCATCTACGCCTTTATCCCTTGGCACCTGCAAACGTTTACCACGTCGCCACCAATATTTTCTTCGTATGGTGGAATAATCCCAGGCTTCACTTTCTCCTTCTAGATCATCGTTGTCTAATCGTTTCATGGAGACTCTTTTCCAAACACTGCTATGTTTTCCGAAGGTTAGAGAAAGGACACCAGGAATCAAACCATCCAGGTTCCTCATATTTCCACCTCTCTCTTAGGTCTAGTTTCCCTAACGGATGAGAGGAGAAAACTCCACCCTCTGTTTCAGGAGTATATTTGTCCTGAAGACTGGATTATTCTTCCCTAAATCAAATAAATGTGGAAAACAATTGTTTATATTCCTGATCCGGGGGGGGGGGGGGAGAAAATGCAATATTCCATCCATCTTCTGCAATTTTCCTCCAAACTTCAAATTAAAAGAAAAATAGATGCCATGAGGTTGGCTTAATGATATTTTCAGGCACAGTGCACACCCGGCCCAAACCCTTTCGCCTGGTATTGGAGGTCCCAGCTTTATCCCTGGGTCCCTCCTGGCCTCCACCCTCTCTGGGCAGCGTCAGGTACGCCCCAGGCTGGTACCAATCGAAACAATCTGAAAAGCTTTGGGAATAAGGTTGGTGTGTCTGGAGCGAGGGGTGCTGCGTAGCCCGTGAGCTTCTGCCTCAGTCATTCTGCAGGTGGCGAGGTGACCCACTGAGCTGTACAGCAGAGGTTGGCAAACTACAGCCCACTGCCTGTCTTTGTAAATAAAGTTTTATTGGAACACAGCCACACCCGTTCGTTTACGTTTGCTCTGTGGCTGCAGCACAGTGAAATAGTTGTAACAGACCCTCTCTGGTCCTCAAAGCTTTGAATCTTGGTCTCTGAATCTCCAGACATTCCAGAGGGTTCATACTTCTTTATTTTTTATTTTTTTTATCCTCACTGGAGGACATTTCTCCATTCTTTGTTTAGATAGAGCGGGAGGGAGAGAGAGGAAGAGAGAAAGAAACATCGACATGAAAGGGACACATCGAGTGGCTGCCACCCACACGACCCAACCGGGGCCGGGGACAAACTGCAACCGAGGTACATGCCCTTAGCAGGAACCGAACCCGGGTCTCTCCAGACCGCGGGCCAACGCTCTAACCACTGAGCCAAACTGGCCAGGGCCTTTCTGTATTTCTTATCAACACCATTTATGTTTCTTTAGAGGTGGATCTGCCTCTGTGTCCACTCAGCCCCCCACCCAGACAGTCCTTCACCACCTAGGATTCTGGAATCCCCCTCGCTCAGAGAGTGCCTTCTGACCCTTCCTCCTCTCACCGGGCCCTCGGACACTGACTCTGCCAAGCCTCAGACTTGAGCTCACCACCCTTCTGAAGGTGGTGATTTGAACTCTGGTACCAACAACCCCCAAGTGCACTAGACTGTGAACTCTTTGAAGATACGTAGTGCGTCTTATCTGCTTTCGTATGACATTAGTGTCCCTAAGAACATGATATGCTGCCTCCCTCATGGGTTACATCCATGAAGGTACCTGGAAGACATCAAAAATGAGAAGGGAGGGAAGGAAGGGAGAGTTTAATTCACTCTGGTATGCTCCTCCTCTTCCGAGTTGGTCCAAATCTAATGGTGCTGTTCACATGGCCAACACCACCTGGTCTGCATCTGTTAACCTTCTCTTTTCTTATGGTAACACTGACAGTTTTCAATGCAGGAGAGCACCCAGCTGTCCCCTCTGCAGACCCCTGACAAATAAAAGGCTCCTTTTCATCACTCCTCCTAAGATACGGGTCGCAACAATTAACTACACCTTTCAAATGAAAAGGCCACTGGTTCAAGTCCCGGGTCGGTTCTGTGACCAGAAACAAATCCTCCTGGCTTCTCGTCCCCATTTCTTGCAGCAAATGCCACTGGGTCCACCGAGGACAAACGGGTTTGTTGGGGTGGGGGTTCCCTTGCTCTTGCCATACCCCAGAATCCAGCCCTGACCGCGATCCTCCTGTTTCCCCACAACGCGTGCTCACGCAATGGACTCCTCAGCTTCTCCGTGGCTGGGTGGCTTTAATGCGTGGTTTCCGGGCCCTCGCCCATTTGTCTGGTGCCACCCCAACATCATCTGAAGAGCGGGGACGAGGGAGACTATCGGAACCACCCCCTCCCCGCGCCATGTGCAGCCAAGCACTGGCAACGGCTTGTCCTTCCTCATCAGATACAAGAGGTGACTGACACTCCGTATTAGATGTTCAGTTATCAAAGAGCATTAAGAGTGGAAGAAAGTGGCATTGATGAATGACTGTACCACACAGTATTATTCAAATAATTCAGCAAGGACTCCAAGTCCTGCGCTGCCAAGCTACAGCCGAGAACCAATTTTCCCCTGATGGCTTCAGAAATGATTCTATTTATCAACAAAACCCTGAGACCACCAGAGTGTCAACAGCAGTCTTAACCTGGAGACCCGGCTAAGGGGGAGTCCCTGTATGTCTGCTACTGTCATCAGCAAGGTGAGAGATCATCATGATAGAGAACTCAGAAAGTCTCCATCTGTCTAGATAGACATGTCGGTAGGCAAATAGTTACAAAAAAAGAAAGGGAGGGAGAGAGGGGGATGGATAGATGCATGTGTGTATAGAAGGAAGGAAGGAAGGAAGGAAGGAAGGAAGGAAGGAAGGAAGGAAGGAAGGAAGGAAGGAAGGATAATAGACAGATGATAGATAGATAGATAATAGATAGATAGATAGATAGATAGATAGATAGATAGATAGACAGATAGACAGATAATTTTTAAATCCAGGTTTAATATCCAGGAATGTCATAAAAGGTAGCACTTACTTCTCAGTCTTATTTTATAGATGAAAAAATTAAGGAACTATAGCTTGAACTTGAAGGGACTTGTCCAAGGTCATGTCTACCAACGCAAGTGAAGACAGAATTATAACTCATAGATAAAGCTACCGTTATTCCAGAGCCGTGGTTCTCAGTCAGGGGTGACTGGGCCCCCCACCCCAGGCACTTCCTGGAGACAGTTCTGGTTCGTGACTGGGGCAAAGGCGTGGGTGCTACCAGCCTCTGGTGGGTCGAGGCCAGGGATGCCGCTCAACCTCTTACAAAAGCCCCCACAACAGAGGGTTACCCAGTCAAAATGCCAACAGTGCCGAGGTTTAGAAACCCTTTTCTAGAAACACAGTCCGTGCACCCTGGCCCCTGCCTGTCTGGGTAAGTTGGTTTCCTGGAACATAGCCATGCCCCGTGCTCTGTGCATGGCCTGGGGCAGCTTTCATGCTCTAATGGCAAAGGTCAGGGGTTATGACAGAGACCACCGGGTCCACAAAGCCTGAATAATGACTCTCTGACCTTCTGCGGAAAGTCTGCTGACCTTTGTTCTCTGGCGCAGGTCATTACGGGATAGACACCCAAGGGCACCGCTGCCCTGGGGCCGGAGGGCGTGCACCATGCGACTGGAGGCAACACATGCCGCAGAGACACCCTGGTAAGCCAAAGCACAGGAGTGACAAAGAGTAAGAAGGGTGGCTCACAGAGGCTGCCGAGATCTACCGGAAGACATTCCTCCATGACCTCTTTGTCTGAATGGCATCCACACATTAAACTCACCCACCCAGCCCTGGCCGGTTTGGCTCAGCGGTTGGAGCGTCAGCCTGCGGTACAGAGAGACCCGGGTTCGGTTCCCGCTAAGGGCATGTATCTCGGTTGCAGTTTGTCCCCGGCCCTGGTTGGTCGTGCGGGTGGCAGCCACTCGATGTGTCCCTTCACATCGATGTTTCTCTCTCTCTCTCTCCCTCCCGCTCTATCTGAACAAAAAATGGAAAAATGTCCTCGGGTGAGGATAAAAATAAATAAATAAACTCACCCACCCTACGCATCACGTGTTCATCTAAGGCTCACTGTGGTCAAGTATTAGCGTCTTCATACGGTGTCTGACTTTATGAGATATTACGCTGGGCCTACCAAGATGAATCCACCTGGGAATCAAGAGCACCAGCTGTCGCCCTGGCCGGGTAGCTCAGTTGGTTAGAGCATTGTTCCAACACGCCAAGGTTATGGGTTTGATTCCCGGTCAGGGCATAGACAAGAACCAACCAATGAATACATCAGTACATGAAACAACAAATCGGTGTCTCCTTCTCTCGGTCCGTCTGTCTTTCTCTCTCCCCCCTTAAAATCAACCAATAAATAAAATTTTTGAAAACAGAACAATAGCTGTCATTATTGAGTATAACTGTCTGCCAGGCCCTGGGATGGAAATACACACACAAAAAAAAACGTTCTTAAAATGTCACTGATCTTAGCTAAATGCAGAGTGATATTTTCCGTGTCCAGTGTAAAGGCGGAGATGGTCAGAGGCACGGGCCGGTGTACCTACTTCCTCTTTCGCATCTTCCGCGTCAGAGTCTTTGTCCTCTTCTTCATCCTCATCGTCTTCAACATCCTCTGGGTGGGGAAAAAGAGGGGAAATGGGTGAGGCTTCCCTTTTGTCTTGGACTTGGACTAGTCCTTCTGCCTCTCAGGACGAAGCGTTCAATGCCCCGACCCATCCCAGTGCTAACTGAAGGCCCATGAACCCCAGCACACACGGGCCCATGAGAGCATCCTCAAGTCCACGCTGAACGCAGACAAGTGCAGAATAAAATGACCAACCCACACCCTTCTGGCCTCCCCGCCCAGCTCAGAACTTCTGCAGCGAACATTGCCAAAGGGCAGAGGTCACATGCAGAATGTGCGTGCCCTTGGATCAACCCCCTCATCTTGATCTGAAGGGACTTGTTTGAAATAAAGTCCCCCACTCAGCGCCACCATGGCAAGACACCTCTGCGAAAAGCGATTCCGTGGAAGGAGGACAGGACTGGAAATCACGAGAATCCTTTTACAACCATCTCGTAGATGACACCCTCATGCTTCCAAACATTCTACTACGACTGAGCGTAAGGGTTTAAACAGCAAAAGTCGTATTTCAAGTTTCTCCTTAGGGCAAATTCATTCCACAACCAGTCAGTACCGTGCAGGGACTCCATCAAGGGGTTGTGAATAGATTTTTTTTTTTTTTCCCTCACCCGAGGACATTTTTCCATTTTTTGTTCAGGTAGAGTGGGAGGGAGAAAGAGGAACAGAGAGAGAGAGAGAGAGAAACATCGACATGAAAGGGACACATCGAGTGGCTGCCACCCGCACGACCAACCAGGGCCGGGGACAAACTGCAACCGAAGTACATGCCCTTAGCGGGAACCGAACCCGGGTCTCTCCGGACCGCAGGCCGACGCTCTAACCGCTGAGCCAAACCGGCCAGGGCTAGATTTTTTTTTTTAATTAGCTGAGATCTCTGTACAGTCATTCAATAGCAACAGGCGAAGCGGCAATAGTCGATAATGACAGGCAAAATCACTGAGCTTAGTATCGGTTCACCCGGTACTCGAAAATGTGGCTTTTCCGCACACATTTCTAATCGGCTTATTGGATAATGATGGTTGGCCTGCAGGAGCATCGATTTCATTTTCATCCACGGTCCTCTGAAATGCTGCCAACAGGGATGCTTCCTAAAGCTCACAGGTGCCCACTTACTTTACCTTCAGCGAGAACATGTCGGGGTTCAGAAGGGATGTGCCCGGGGCCCGGGAAGGCGTAGGCGCTGCTGGCCGTGACCAGAGGAAGGGGACTCTTTGGGTAGCACTGCCGCAGGACCTGAAGCGCAGTGGCCACGACGGGTTCCAAGCTTTCGTCATCCAGGGAGTTCTGGGCAAAGGGAAGATTGCATCAGACACTGCATCTCGTGTCGAGTCCCTTCGCTGTGACAGTGTTTCTGGTCACGAATTACACGCCGGCTACCTGGGGAGTCAACACCCTTAATGCAGAATGTCCAGGCTGAACTCTACCGCAAAGTTTTGTCTCACACAGCATCGGCTTGGGATTCGTGTAGAAGCCGAATTTTTTCTTTTTTGTTTTTGTTTGTTTGTTTTTTTATCCTCACCCGAGGATATTTTTCCATTTTTTGTACAGACAGAGTGGGAGGGAGAGAGAGGAAGGAGAGAGAGAGAGAAACATCGATGTGAAGGGACACATCGAACGGCTGCCACCCGCACGACCAACCAGGGCCAGGGACAAACTGCAACCGAGGTACGTGCCCTTAGCGGGAACTGAACCCGGGTCTCTCCGGACCGCAGGCTGATGCTCTAACCGCTGAGCCAAACTGGCCAGGGCCGAATTTTTTCTTTTTCATGGCTCACAGGACACTGCCATGGATTTAGCCTGAATATAGACTGAAAAGTCTCCCCAGGGAAGCTGCACCTACGCGGACGCGTTGTCCGGGACGGCCGGGGGGAGGGGAGGACATGCCATCTTCAGCCACCCACTGTCACTGTGACTGATGGCCTAAATGGGAGCATGTGTAGCTGACCCGACGGAAGCCTTACTTGCCCCTATCAGCTGCTCCCCGACGAGAAAAAGACAAAGGACAAAACGTGACACCGGAAGCAAAGACGGAGCACATCTCACGCACCTGGGACCCGCACACGACAAAGAAAAATTGGGTTTTGCAGACGTAACATTTGGACATTGACGGGACACGACAAGACCCTTCTTTTCAGACGCTGAAAAATGTGAGAATAGGGTTAATAAATTGAGAGAGGGTTGGGAGGAGGCTGGGTATCTCTTTGGCCAAACAAACAAACACACAAAAAGGCAGGGAGCCATTTTCTTCAGTCTCTCAGTTAATGTTTTATCTACGGACTTGACCAGTGTGAGCCTCCAAGCTGATCTTCCTAAGGGGTCCCTGGAAAACTCTGAGGCCAAGGAGTCATAGTAGCAGACATTGGGGGGTGCTGAAAACTCACCACAGAGCAGAGCCACGAGCTAGAAGAGGTCACGCCCTGCTACCTTCAGCCCTACATTACAGTCAGCCCCACATCAGAGAAAAAAAACATTTACTAAAAACCCAGCCACACATTCAATCTCCACGGATGACTCCAAAATATAATAAGAAGGAAGCCAACTTTGAAAACGGAAAGGTCCTGACATCATCAAGAAGGCTGTTTCCCCTTCCATGTGCTCAGATGGTACCAATCAGGTGTCCTGACCGACCGGCGGGAAGCAGCCTCCGCAGAAAATTAATTAGTGGAGGCTATTTTACCGCCGGGCGTTGGCAGATGATTCCAAGGGCTTAGTGAAACGTCTGAGTATTTGGAAGGAGACGGTACTGAATGCAGAGGAGGACGAGGAGGGAGGTCGGTGGCTGATTACAGGTAATGGGCTGAGCTCCCATCTTTGAAGTATAGAGTCAGTCTGCAATTATCCCTTTCTCCAAATTAATAGCTACCTCCCACTGTTTCAGGGCATCCTTGTAGGGGTCCTTTTTTAACCTTTCATTCAAATTGTTATCTTTCTCCCTCCTCCTGCGAAGCTCCAAGGTCCGATTACATTAAACGGCGCCCTCACTGCACGGTGGGTTATCTAATCTTCTCAGTGTTTAAGGGATCCTTAGAGGATCTGTACAAGAAGGTGACCCAGGAGGCGCTGGCCAGGTCACTTAGTTGGTTAGATTGTCAACCTGATACATCAAGCTGGGGTTTGATCCCCCGTCAGGGTGCGTACAAGAAGCAACCAATGAATGCATAAATAGGTGGAACAATAAATCCATGTTTTTTTCTTTTGGTCTTTCTCTCTTCCACTCTCTCTCAAATCAATGAATTAAATTAGTAAATAATGTGACACAGGAAACAAAGAGATGGGATCCTTGAGAGAGAGAGAGCCACTCAGTGGTCTTAGTGGGAAAGCAAAGAACAATACGATAAACAAAGGACTTAGTGAGAAGGACTCAGAAATAGTTCTTTCTCAGTCTCTCTCATGCCCAGCAGGTTTGCAGTTATATCATAAACACCAGTAGAAAACAGGTCAGGATGATGTTTTCCAAGGTGTGATCCCCACCCAGCCCCGTGGAATCAGAAGCCGAGGCTGGGCCCTCGCAGCCTCAGGTGGCTCTGATGAACACTGGACTGAGAGAGACGATGGTGCCGTGGGCAGAGCATGGACCTCGAGTAAGACCGCTGAGTTCAAGTCCTTGAAAACGTTGAAATCAGAGAGTCTGGGTAAACTGTTAAGGCAGTCATAGGCCACAGTAAGCACTCAGTACAAATCTCTTACTCCTCCTCTTCCTTTATTGTCATTGTCACCACCACCATTACCATTGCGCCACCACCACCACCATCATCACCACCACCACCACCACCACCATCATCAGCACCATCAACACCATCAACACCACCACCATCACTGCTACCACCATCACCATCACCACCACCACCATTACCATCATCAACACCACCATTACCACCACCATCACCATCACCACCACCACCACCACCATTACCATCATCAACACCACCACTACCACCACCATTACCACCATTACCACCACCACCACCACCACCATCACCACCATCATCATCATCACCACCACCACCATCACCACCACCACCACCACCACCATCATCACCACCACCACCATCACCACCACCACCACCACCACCACCACCATCATCACCACCACCATCACCACCACCACCACCACCATCATCAGCACCACCATCATCACCACCACCACCATCACCACCACCACCACCATCACCACCACCACCACCATCACCACCACCACCACCACCACCACCACCACCACCATCATCACCACCACCACCATCACCACCACCACCACCATCATCAGCACCACCACCATCACCACCACCACCACCACCACCACCATCATCACCACCACCACCATCACCACCACCACCACCACCACCATCAGCACCACCATCATCACCACCACCACCACCACCACCACCACCACCATCACCACCACCACCATCACCACCACCACCACCACCATCATCACCACCACCACCACCACCACCACCATCAGCACCACCATCATCACCACCACCACCACCACCATCACCACCACCACCACCACCATCACCATCATCATCATCACCGCTACCACCATCACCACCACCACCATCATCATCTTCATCTTCAGTTGCTGCAGCATCAGCCCAGCAGAATTTGCAGGACATGACTAAAGCCAGGTCCCCAGCTGGCCAGCCTGTGACCCACAGCCTTCCCTGACGGATGGGCAGCTCGAACTTCAGCACAGCTGCAGTGACCGGTGCTCAACGCCAGGGGCTGGGCTGTCCTGCAGCCAGGGAAACCCAGCCACAAAGTGCGGCTTCTGCCTCCCACACAGCCTGCTTCCATCCCACGCAGTTATCCCAGGCTGAGCACGTGTCACTTTGTTTAGTCAGGCAGTTGCGGTCTTCACTGACCGGCTGAGGAACTGCTTTCAAGATCCTGCTTCTAAGCTCACAGCCTTTCCATGCCTGCCCTTCCCTTGGCATTTTTCCCACCCTCTTATCATAGACATGTACCTCTGGGATCACCATCGTCCTTCATTGCCCTTTTAATGGTGTTTTATCACCAGACAGAGAAAGAGCCAATCACACAGAGGGCATAGGAGCCAGAGTGGGGCCATGAGGCGTCAGCAAGGCAGGGAGCGCTTCGCTCGGACCGGGGGAGACTGGAGACGTAGGGGACGCAGGCTGACAGAGGAGGGTGAGGCTGGGGAAATTCAAAGCACTTCCTCGTCCAGAGGCACCGAATGTCAAATGTAGCTATTTCATGACTGAGATGCTCTGAAAGCTGCGATGATGGAGAAAAACCCGGAGGTGATAGCAGACAGAAAATTAGATATCGGTTTGCAGCACGGTATTATGTTATTGCTTGGAGGAAGGTCAGGGAAAGCTGTATTTTAAGCTGGGAAAAGTCTGTCCAGCTGGTGTGGCTCAGTGCTTAAGCGTCGACCCTGCACCAAGAGGTCGCCGGTTCGATTCCCGGTCAGGGTTCATGCCCAGGTTGTTGGCCCAATCCCCAGTGGGGGGCATGCAGGAGGCGGCCAATCCATGTTCTCTCTCATTGATGTTTCTATCTTTCTCTCCATCTCCCTTCCTCTCTCTCTCAAATCAATCAAGGAAAATAAATAAATAAAATGGGAAAAGTGTACCGACACCATGGTTGGAAACAACAGTCTCGTCGACAGCGTCATTGACTCGGGTGTACTCAGGTAGGGTCAAACTGGAGGTGCCGGGCAAAAGCAAGGACTGATGGAGAGAGGACACAGGCTCACATGAGGACACACAGCAGGGAACAGAATGCCTGTGAAACATGGGCCACCCTGACTCCAGGAAGAGGTGGGTGAGCCGATGGTGGATACTGGGGAGATGGTCACATCATCTGGGGACCGGTTACCACTCACACAGTGGGGTTTAAATTAGCCCTCATCAAGGGAAATTAAGAAATTGGGGTGGAGGGGGTTGAAATCCAGGAAACCCTAAACACATACCCCCACTGGGGTGCAGGTAAGGAAGAGACCTTCCAAGAGCGACTCCTTCAGCCTGGGAAGCTTTCCCTCAGCTCCTTCAGTACTTCAGAGCTCAGCCTCATTGTCACCTGCTCCAAGAAGACGCCTTGACCTGCCTAATAGAAGACCTTCTCCCTCCACCTATGATGGTCACCGCAGACCTTTGACCTCACTTGATTGATTTCACTGAGCAATACGAAATTACCTTCCTCGTGAAATTCTGTGCTTCCTTTGTGACTGACGGCCCTGCTAGAACATTCGCCCCACAAGGGGTCCTGCCTGTCATAGTCCACAGTAGCTTCCGCAGCACTAATTATTCCAGTGCTTCTCCTCAACCTCAGAGAGCAGCAATGTCCCCGCAAGCTCTTTGCTAAGCACAGGGACGTTTCCACATTAACTCACTCAGGCCACAAAACAACCAGATTGTATTACTTCTATTTTTAAAAGGAGGAGGAGGATGAGGAAGAGGAGGAGGAGGAGGAAACTTGAGGCCCAGAGGATTTGGGTGGCTTCAAACTTCACAGCTACAGATACACTGGCTGGAATTTGAACCCAGGTTCTCCAGCTTTAAAGTCCACACTCGGAACCATTGCACCATAGGGTGGACCCAATAAATACGTGCTGAATACATGAACAGATGCATGAGCGAATGAATGCACGAGGATTTGAATCCAGAACATCTGCCCAGAGCAGGCGGCGAGAACCGGAGGGAGGTTTGCCCAGCACTGTTCGGGGTGTTGCCTAAATGACGCCCTTCGGGAGTCACCCAGATGTCAGCCGAGGCAGAGGTGATCCCAATGGAGTTACCTGTGTGGTGCTGAAGAGGATCTCCATGCCCTGGGCTGCCAGGAAGGCCTCCCTGCCTGACTGGAGGGTGGCAACGTGCTTGAGGCAGAGCAGGAGCGCCCGGCGGATCAGGACGTAGCTGTTGGCTGTGTCGTGGCAGTGCCAATCCTGGTGCAGACTGAGCAAGCTGGCGACATAGCCTCTGTTCACCGCCCTGCGCCTATTGGACTCTGAAACCAATGGGAACGAGCAGCATCAATCACAGACTCTCCTGTGGGCGCCGAAGACACCTGTTCATTATAAAGGGAATGATAATAACTTCCCAATGGATAAAATGGGTGGGGGTCACCTTGATCAAGTGATCAAAGTGTATCACTAAGCCCTGGTCAGGTAACTCAGTTGGTTAGAGCATCATCCCAATACATTAGGGTTGCGGGTTCAATCCCTGGTCAGGGTACACACAAGAATCAACCAATGAATGCATCAGTAAGTGGAACAATTAATCAATCAGTCTCTCTCTCTCTCTCTCACTCTCTTTCTCCCCCACTTCTTCCCTCTTTCTAAATCAATAATTTTTTGTTTAAATTGTTTTAAGTGCATCATCAGATATCATGCCCTGAAAAAGAAACAGTATCACTTCAGCGGAGTTCCTGCCAAAAATGCATAAACTGAATTGAACCGTGAGAAAAATCAACAAGCTCCAAATGAGGGGTGTGCTGCAAAATATCTGATCTATACTCCTCAAAAATGTCAAGGTCATGAAAGGCACCACCATCACTCCCCCCACCCCGCAAAAAAAGACTGAGGAATTGAGCTAAAGGAGACCAAAATGACACGACCCTTAGAAAACAATACATAATTATCCCTTCTATCCTGGGACAGAAAGCATTTTGTTTTTCTCTTGCAACACAAGGCAACTGGTAACATTGCAACAAGGCCTGTAGATGAACTCATAGTATTGTGTCAATGTACATGAGATGTTGATAAATGGTGCTTATGCAAGGGAATATCACTGTGTTTAGGGAATTCAGAACTGGAGTATGAAATGTCTGTAGCTTACTCTGAAATACTTTCGAAAACAATCCTAACCGTATGTATGGGGGAGAGAGCCTGAGAGAGAGATTCCCATTCTTTCCTGCATCTCAGCGGATTTAGGCTATTGTCACTGGGTTGAGCAAATGATAAGATGTAGATTGGGAAGGAAAAGGACACTCAGTGAGATCATATCTGAAAACTTGTCATGTGTAAGAGACACACTGGGTGTTTTTCCTAAAGAGAATGGAAGTCAATTTATGGACAGCCAAGGGTCTGATGAAGTTCAAGAAAGGAGCCCTTGCCCTGGCCGGTTTGGCTCAGCGGTTAGAGCATTGGCTTGCGGTCTGGAGGGACCCAGGTTTGGTTCCCGCTGAGGGCACGTACCTCGGTTGCAGTTTGTCCCCGGCCCTGGTTGGGTTGTGTGGGTGGCGACCACTCAATGTGCCCCTTTCACATCGATGTTTCTTTCTCTCTCTCTCTCCCTCCCATTCTATCTGAACAAAATAAAAAATAAAATAAAAAAAAAATGTCCTCGGGTGAGGATAAATAAATAAATAAATAAATAAATAAATAAATAAATAAATAAAAGAAAGGAGCCCTTCGTAGGAAGCCTACTCAGCAAGACGGCGGAGTCCACGTGTTCAGGTAGAGGGGAGACTCACCCAGCAGGACGAGCTGCAGGCTGTCTGGCACCTAACGTCCTAGAGGGGGCGCCCTCATGGTTCCCTTCCCCCCTTCAGCACCATGAGTTCTTTCTTTGTTCGTTGAATGATCTTGGCCGAGACCTCTCATGAGACCCATCTTACGGAACGATGATGATTTCCTAATTTTCCAAAGATACCGTTTCAATTCTCTTCGGAGAATGCAGGTGGAGAGAGTCTGACACCCCTCTTGTTGACATCTGCCATTTCCATGGGAAGCCCTTCAGACTAAGGAGCCGGTGGGCAAACGTGGACTCGGTCAGACTGTCCGGGTAGGTGCCTGCCGGTGTGCTGGGCTCCCAGCAGCTGAGTCTCGGGCACAAATGTTCCAGACTTGCACCTCTGTCCCCTCGTGACTGTAGTCTCCACCACCCAAAGGTGTGCATGGCTGACGAGACAATACATGCTTCTAGCTGAGTGGGTGGAAGAGACGCCCGGAGCCGTCAGGGGATAACCATGAATTCCAGCCCCAGGTCAGCTCCTTCCCTCATGACAAAACAACACGAACACCAGTGCTTCATTCCAGAAGGGCTTGCTCATTATATTAATAAAACTCTTCTTCCGTTTTCCTGCTTGTTTGTCAAATTCTAAATGGTCAGGCTTCACTGAGCCCCACTGAGATTTCTGACCCTTTTCCTCTTTCTTTCTTTCTTTCTCTCTTTCTTTCTTTCTTCTTTCTTTCTTTCTTTCTTTCTTTCTTCTTTCCTTCCTTCCTTCCTTCCTTCCTTCCTTCCTTCCTTTCTTTCTCTCTCTCTCTCTCTCTCTCTCTCTCTCTCTCTCTCTCCACATTTTTCAACATATCATTCAGCCCCGACCCTGACTTGCAAGTGGTGAGCTTTATTCACTGGGTGGTGTGTTTGTGGAAGGTCCTCCCGCCTCCATGAGCTGCTTTAATGAATTATTCTTCCGTACCAGAAACCTTTCTCTCTGCCTAGTCCCGGCCAGAAGCCCTAGAGCCCTGTACTGCCCAGTCAAGGTTGCAGCCTACCCAATGTCTGATGTTGGAGACAAAGCAGAGGATTAAGTAGCAGATATGGAAAGAATGAATCACCTACTGAAATGATGCCAAACTGGCAAAAACAGTGCCCAGGGGCCTGTGGACAGTGGGACCCTAAAGGCTTTAGTCTTTTACCTATTGAAGGGGACGTGGTATCTAATGACCTTCATTTTTTTTTTGGAGGGTGAGGAAAATAATGGGGGAAAAAAACCCTTATCACATCCCAACGACTTTATTTGATTTTCTGTTAATCCACAATAAACGGTCATGTTTACTAACACCTGAAATAGCTTCCCCTCCGTCCCCCCGAACTTACACAAGTCCATCTTCCTCTGAGAAGGACTTGGGCAGTTTTGCAAAAATTCTTGCTTATGGAAAACCCGATAAGAAGAGACTCATCGGGAAGAACAAAGAGAAAAGCAGCCCTGGCCGGTTTGGCTCAGTGGTTAGAGTGTCTGAACAAAAAATGGAAAAAATGTCCTCAGGTGAAGATTTAAAGAGAGAGAGAGAGAGAGAAGCCATAGGGCGAAATGAGGGACTCTGGGATCAGCGACTTGGAGCAGTTCTAGAAAATTTGGGGCGAACAGGGCTTTGCCAAGGGAGCCTAAATAGCAAAGAAAAAATGGTGAGGTTTGCCCAGGCCGGTTTGGCTCAGTGGTTGGAGCGTCGGCCTGCGGACCAGAGAGTCCTGGGTTCGGTTCCCGCTAAGGGCACGTAAGTCGGTTGCAGTTTGTCCCCGGCCCCGGTTGGGATCGTGTGGGTGGCAGCCACTTTATGCGTCTCTCTCACATCGATGTTTCTCTCTCTCTCTTCCTCTCTCTCCCCCTCCCGCTCTATCTGAAGATAAATGCAAAAATGTCCTTGGGTGAGGATGAAACATAAAAGGTGAGGTTTCATACACTGCTTGGAGTGAGCTCAGGGTTCAGGGGTGGGAGAGGGCTCCAGGTCCCCCCAACCCTCTACAAAAAGACCAGCTGCACTTTGCTTGCATAAATGGCTTTCTCCTAAGATTTTCTTGGGGGGGCGGGGGGATCCTGTTCCTTAATTCAAAATATTGATTTAATTTAAATGTTTAAAAAATCGTTTTCTTAAGCAGATCGGTTTATCTTACACGCCTGGGAGAATGTGGGTAGCGTGGACAGGAGCACTTCTGAGGGTCTTCAAGTCCCCAACCCCGACCCCACCTCATCTGAAAGGGGTTCTCGGAGACCTGTCTCCATCCGCCGCTCAGGGCATCCGGCCGAAGGTCTCGGCCAGGGACTCATTGCTGTCCTCGCCTCCAGGTGACCCTCTGAGTCTATTTCTAATGTCCTCTCCAGAGCACACCCCTCAGCCTCCCATCTGCAGCTCATTCTGTCAGCAGTGGGACCCCTTCGGAGCTGTATTTCCACACCTCGGTGCCCCCTCCGAGGTTGCACGTGTCTTTCCTGCAGAGCCCCTGGCATTGCACACCGACACGCCAGGGGACAGGGACACGAACACTGGGAGGGAACCGCGCACGCTCTCAGTAGTCCTTGTGGGGGGTTCGATTTGCCTTGGCGTTTGCAGGTCTGGTTTGGCCTTTTCCGAACCTTTTCTTCTTCACACGTTCTGCAAGGGACCTGACCTCACAGCAGGGGACGCGTGGGAACCTGCAGCAGAGCAGGGAGCTGGTCTCTTACAGCCACAGCAGTAGGCGTGAGACATGCACATCGGTGCAGACCTCTGACCCCCCTTTGCCAGACCCAGTGCCCCTCGCCGGCCACACAGCTGTCAACTCCCCTTCTGGGGTCCTTTCCAGGGCCCTGAGCCCCACCACCTTCCAGCTGCAGAGCTGTGAGCGTCTTACTTCATGGCCCTAGCCTCAGTCTTCACTGAAACACAACTGAGAAAATCCTTCCTCCCGGTGGGAAGAAAATTAAATGAGATGATACATATAAGTGCCTGGCAGTAACAAGCACTTAATACCTGTCGCCATCTAGTTATTATCCCACCCCCCTCTGCTACTGGGGACAGCAGTGCCGAATGCCCGGGATATGAATGTGCCTTTGATAGACTCATGAAAGGACAGGAAGCCCGGGGTCCGTAGCTGCTGCTTTGAACGTTGTCACTTACTAGCTGTGCACACTTCACTGTTACTTGGCCATTCTGAGCTACATTTCCTCCATCTGCAAATAGGAAAGCAAGGTAAAGAAACTGAAGGTCCGTGGTAAGGAATGAATGCATAGCATGGCACCTGGCACTAAGTATGTGTTCAATAAACGGTAGCCGCCTTCTCCACAGGGATAACATCCAAAATCCCCATCCCTTTCACCGGTGAGAACAGCCCGAGGAAAAGTTTCAAAATCAGTAAAACTTATAATCAGCGTTCCTCACTCCCGTGGAATAGAACCGACATTTCACCCCGAACGGTCCCCAGTTGTATGTTGCTGTCGATCTGTCCTGAGATACCCCAATACATACACAATGAGGATTACACCCCACTTTATCTCAGCTGCTCTTACAATGTCCATAATGG